TCTACAAATATTACAATATATATATATATATGTATAAAAATATTTCAGTGTTTAAAATTATTTACAATTGTAATTTACCTTACAAGATGATAAATATATTATTCCAGAATTTTTATAATTTTTCTTTTTCTTCTTTTTCTCATTAATACATGGCCATTCAACCTAAAAATAAAATATATTGTCTCATATAAGATATAATCCAACAAATATCCTTATTTTCATTATAAAAGGTTAATAATACAAATTGATAATATGTTAATTAAATTTTAAAATTATGAGACTGCATATTTATTATTTACTATTATACAATACTATTATTTTTCAGTGTAAAAACAGTTAGTTACTGTAAAAATAACAAAATTTTAACCTAAAAGATATGTTAGTTTTGTGAGAGAAAACCTGACTTCATTTTGTTCTTGACAACTTATTCTCTTTACTTACATTTACTTTGGGAAGTTTTAGTTTAGGACAACTATTTCACACTCCTGATAGGAAAACAACATTAAAAAGAATTTTATCATTAGTTTATGTGGACCATAGAATCTCTGAAGGAAGACAATCAGTAAACATCTGATAAGTCACATAATATCAAAAAGATAAAAAGTACTACAAAACTAATTTATTCATCAGTAAATTAATATCACAATTTGTTAGGATTATAGTTACTGTCAATAAGAAAAGCACAAATTAAGCCCCAAAAGATTACATAAATGATGTAGGTGGCTATGATGTTCTTATACCAAAAGGAATAACATGACAAGCCATTTAAATTAGCAACTGAAATTGAAGAGTATTCTAGCATTCCAGTTGTTTAATTGGAGTTTGAACTGTGAAACCTTGACAAAGTAGTTTTTTTGATTGTTTACTTGTTCCCTGAATTATTGTTTGTAACCAACTATGTAGTAACAACTATTACACAATGGTGTACTGATAAACTATTGTCAATTTAATTAATTATTATTAGTAGAACTAATCTCTTTATTGTTATCATTATTAATATTACTAGTATTATTAATCATTTAATATTTGTTATTACTATTAGCTGCAGTTTTTTGATAAAACTATTGTTTTCTGACAGCACAGCAAGATCTGTCTGCTATGAACACTGACAAAGTTTAGTTGTGGTGCTCACATGAAAAACTACACTTTAGATGTTTATACAATATATAGCTTTATCACTAATAAGTTTAATTTACTGCATTTATACTATTGTAAACACAAAAATGAATATATAAATACTTCAAATGTCTTTTAGAAGAAATTTATAGATAAATCACACATGAAACATCTAAGATATATTTTGATATAAAACTTATTGCCTGTTACAAAAAATAATAATAATAAATAACTTATATTTGCAATAAAAACTTCTAGTATTTTATAATGTAATATTTTAATATAAAAATTGTTTTCTATCAGTTATATGAAAACTGAATATTTAATATTAAAATTTAAGTCCTAAAGAAGGCAGAAATGTCAAACACATTAGAAAAATAAGATTTATTCAAATTTTAATGCTTTAATTTATGAGAGGTGTCCAGAAAATAAAAAATGCATAGCATTCTGTGCAGGTAAATTACCACCGTTGCTTCAAAGTCAATTTATTTTCTGATAAGAGGGCTTTATTTTTCAAGCTCCAATAGTCCATTAAAAAAAAAAAAAAAAAACAAATGTAAATAACAAAATGAATTTATTACCAAAAGTTAGGTACAATCATGCTTACTTTTCAACATTGAGGCATTTGTCATATCTGTAGATGAGCTTTTCTATCCCCTTGTCATAGAATGTTGCAGCCAATGACTTGAGATGGGCCCTAATGTTTTTTGAAAATCGTCATTAGTCTCTAACCTCTGCCCTCCTAGCCACTTTTCCTGTTCAGGAAAAACGTGGAAGTCACTCAGTGCTAAATCAGGGCTATACGCTGGGAGTTTAAAGGTGGTGAAGACTTCCACCCAGCTTAAGACTTTTTAATGTGTGAAGACTTCAACCTTTTTCCTGAACTGAAAATGTGGCTAGTATGGCAGAGGTTTGAGACTAATGAACTAATGACGATCTTCAAAACAATGTTGTTAAGGCCATCTCAATTCACTGGCGGCAACATTCTATGATAAGGAAATGGAAAAGTTGTCCACAGATATGACAAATTCCTCAATCTTCACAGTGATTATGTCAAAAAGTAACCATGTTTATACCTAACTTTTAGTAATAAATTTATTTTGTTATTTACACTTGTCTTTTTTTTATGGACTATCGAAGCTTGAAAAAAAAAAAAGCAGCCTACATCTTAGCATGTGTAGAATTTCAATGACAGACTTATTACTACTATTTGTCAAGGGTTAAAATGTGTACAAAAATCGAAAATTGTGCAAAGTGCAAAATGTTATTCAATTTCTAAATGCAAAGAAAGTTTATCCTGAAGAAATTCATAAACAAATCACAAAGAATATGGTAATCACATTATGAATGAAAGAAGTCTGAGAAAATGGTATTTAATGTTTAATTTATCAAGGAAAATAATGTACAATCACATTCTACAGCAGACACTCAAGCCATGCTTCGTAAATTTGACTGGGACATTTTCAACCACCTCCACACAGTCCTGACATGATTCCCACTGACTTTCATCTCTTTCCCAAGCTGAAAAGATTTTGGGTACATTTGAAATGTTTTGGAATGGATGAGAGGTAAAAGAAGCTGGTTGAAAGAACTAGCAGTTAAAGTCTATGACGAAAGAATCAAAAAACTAGTGTTGTGCTATGATAAATGCTTTAATTATAATGGTGATAATGTAGAAAAGTAACTAGTCTTGTACAAATTATTTAATAAAATTTTCTCTTATCATTTTCTATTTTTTTCCGTTTTTATAACTAAAATAATACTAGAAATATATTAATATGATGGGTGTGCAGAAAATAAAGAATGTTTAGTTATAAACATTCTTTATTTTCTGCACACCCATCAGATTAATATATTTTTAGTATTGTGCAACATAAAAGATAATGGAATGTGTTTGTTCACAATCACTACAAACCTATGGAACTATTAAGATTGGCAAATTGTTGATATTTCAATCCTTAATCAGTCTCTGCATGAACTTTATAAGTTAAAGTAACAAAACATTTTTCAGAGAACAACCTGAGAAACCTTTCATCTTCTGCACACAGAGGATTCAATGTTACTGATACAAGTATAATATCAAATTCCTCAAGCATTTATTCAAAACTGAAAGTTGCAGTTAGGATGAAGCCCCTGAAGATGAGCCTGGTCAGCTCAAAAGCACTTGGGCACTAGATGGTGAAAGATTTTCCCAAGTTGGTCTCCAAAAATTAGTTTGTTACTTTAACTTATTAGGTTGATTTTTTTAAAACAAATTCTAAAACAATAAAAAAGATGATTGTCCAGTTTCATATTTGCAGAAATACACCTAATTTTAACACAAATTTTGTAGTAGTTAGTGAATTTGAATATGTTAATGTTAACTCAAACTCACTGGTCACAACTTATAAATTTTCAATTGGTGAATTCTAACAAAAATAAACATATGAAATGGTAGTTATTTTTCTTTACACTACTTTAAAAATTTTTGAAATTTTTTTTGAACGAGACCAATTGGTATTTAATATTTCATAAGAATATTTTTTTTATCAAATAGTTATGTCACCTATCAGACATCAACAGACACATTCAATTCTGTGAAACAGTTCTAATTATATTCAATGATTAAAAAAGTTTACTGATACAAAACAGCACATATTCTAACAGAATTAAATGTATAATTTAAGTCTCTGGCAAAGTAGTTACTATTAAATAAAATTTTATAAATAAAGCTATAGTTTTATACAATTTAATGCTAACTGAAAGATACAAATATTTTAAAATGTCATTTACTTTAGAAAAAATCTTGAATAAATAATCAAATTTGTTTGTATGTTATTGTATGTATATCAGATAAACTATATACAAAACTAATACCAGAATAATTTTCTACAAATAGTTAACAATTAGATTACAATAGATAGTCTTATGTATCATTGTATAGAAACTGAAAGAAAAATTTTTATTTTTAATATAGTAAAAATCTAAAATTTAATCACTCATTTTAAAATATATCACATTGTTCAATTGAAACAGATTATTTATTTTGTGAGAAAATGAAGTAACTATATCTTAATAGTACATAATGCAATTAGTTTATAATATAGGCCAAGGGTGGGCAACCTTTTTTATAACATGGGCCAGAATAAATTTTACGTTTTTTCCACGGGCCATAGTAGTTAATTGACACCTTGTGACCTGTAAATTTTTAGTTTGCAAATATGAAATAAATAAATAAATAAATAAAAATTAATTACTACAGCGACCCCCCTATAACACTGTTGATTATTCCGTTTTATATGAATTCCTTGTTGTCTGAGTCACTTAGATTTTACAAATGCGTGTGCCGAACTGTGAACGGCTCACCTATTTGTAAAATCTAAGTGACTTTAAACACAATAAAAACAGCCCTATGTAGTTGGATACGACAGACATTACATTTTCTAATTGCATAGCTTTTGCACATAGATTTTCTTGATGGATGATGCGATGAGATATAAATAATTTAGAAAAATTCTGTTCTCCCATTTTTTGTTTGAATAAGGAAATGACTCCCTTATTTTTTCCTGTCATTGCTGCCGCAACACTTCAGAAAATAATATTCAATTTAAACTAGACGAATTACATCGAAAAATATTTATTTATAATTTCTTCTAAACATCTCGCGGGCCGGATAGAAACTTTTCGCGGGCCGTAGCTGGCCCACGGGCAGGGGGTTGCCCACCGTTGATATAGGCGATTATGGCATCCATGGAAATCGGCACAAGTGGAGCGAGTGGGCCAATTTCCATGAATGCCATAATCGCTAATTATAAACGAATTGTCATACAAGATTTTGTGGTTAGACTAAACCTTTATAGCACAGTTAACACAAACACTGTGTTTATACATGATTTTGATTTCTATAAGTATAGTGTTATAGGTGTAGTCAGCCACAAAGAGAATTTATTAGTATTTGAGTATATAGAATAGTTTTTATGCTTTTCATTTTTACTAATTTATTAATGAACTTTTAAATTAAAGAATTAAAATATCATACTTGATGATGTTGAGCTTCTAAAATTTCTGCAAAAGTTGTTGTAAATTCTCCAATAAAATCATGATCACCATGTTTATACCTAACTTTTAGTAATAAATTTATTTTGTTATTTTACCTTTTTTTTTTTTTTTATGGACTATCGGAGCTTGAAAAAAAAAAAGCAGCCTACATCTTAGCATGTGTAGAATTTCAATGACAGACTTATTACTACTATTTGTCAAGGGTTAAAATGTGTACAAAAATCGAAAATCCNATTTAATTTATAATTATGTGTATATCTTGTTGTGTGTACATGATTAAAAATTTTGTAATTATCAAAATATCTGATCAATGTATTTAAGATTAAGTTTATTTCAAGACAGAAAATTAACTATTAAAATAAAAATTAGTATTGTTTTTAGAATAAAATTAACAAAATGTTTGAAGTTTGTAAACATCATATAAATTTTTATAGCAAATATCTTGATTTCAGGATATATGAAGATTTTTCCAGAAATAAAAATTCAGAAATAGCAATTTTCAAATTCCTAATGTCCAACCTCTAAATATTAATATTATAATTCTCTATATCTTCAAAATTTATATATGTTGAGTGTGCTCTATCATGCAATAAGATGATATCTTACTGTTGCAAGAAAATTTATATAGACCTTTGTGATCTTTCATCATGAAATTTTAATTGGTAGCAGTGGCATAGCTACATATTCAGTGCCCTGGAGCAAGTAGAATTGGTGCGTCCCTTGTTCCTCATAAGAGGTGTCATAAAATTTGTTTTGAACATTTAATTTAAAAACATATACCTAATTATTTTGATTTAAAACCTTACTTAATAACAATTTATTTGAGATTCAAAGCATTTCAACAATAAGATATTAAATTTAATAAATATATAATAATAATATAATATTATATAATNATCCGAGGGTCTGACCCCGCCTATCCTCTTTTTAAGCGCTCGTCTTTGCTCTTCCCTTTCTCTTTCCTCTATCGCTCTAATCCACGTATGCCTGTGCATACATCATAATACGGGCTGTGCATACTTTCGATTCGTCACTTTTCCGTCGTAGATTTCCCATTTTACAATTACGTGACCCATAGCCTGGTGATAACAGAGAAAAAAAAAACAGATATGACGTCGGTATAAGACACTTACGATTTCACAGATTCGAGACAGCTCGGTAGCCCGAACGGCCCCAGGCTTTCGCCCGTGCACGCTAAGTGACTTTTATTACAAGTATTTAGCTTTCCGAAGTCTATGACAACAATTGTTTGGCATTGACGGCCGCGAACTTCGCGCCAATAAGCTGCCTCGACTTGTTCGATTATGTTATCGACTCAATTTCATATTTATTTTCACATTTTCACTTCGCGGTCCTTCTCTCTTCTTTTTCCGTTATTATCAAGTGTAGGTCATTAGATATCATTATTTATCACATATTTCCATGTCACTTGTCTGTCCGCTACAACTGCCAAGAATTAACGCGATTGGCGAAGCTTAGTGACAGCGGGCCAATGGAGAGCGGGATCCTTGCCATAATGCGGTTTGCGGGCCAATTTTCGTACGTGCGTTAATCGAGTCGAATAGTTTGGCCGAATATTCGGTATTCGGCCTGAAGCCAAATATACTATTCGTTACAACACTAATTGTAATCTTTCTTAAATTTTTACTTCCTTGTTACATTCCCTGCCGTTTTAACGTGACACGGGTTACATCGGCGGAGTAGCGTGGGTGTCAGCCGCCCGGGGCGGAGGAAATTCTCGCCGCCCCGTTATCTAGGTATTTGAATTTAAAAGACTAAAATTCAGTTTCGTCACAAAATAAGTAACGAAAAATTCCGTGCTAGTGTAGCCACCGGTTTGAAATATCTTCATTGGATATTGGAGGTGTAAGTTGTATATGAATACGAATGAATCGTACGAGCAAATAGAAAAAAAAAGGTCGACAGGTTGCGCAGGATATCCCCGGGTGAAATTAATAGTTCACCCGGACTGTCCGGATGGTAGCACTATCGTAGGTGCGACGAAAATATAGAATAGAGTGGTTCAAATTTTTACGAGATATTATTATTATTTATTGTGAAATTTTGCCACTTCCTAAAAAGTGCCGCCCGGGGCGGGCCGCCCCACTACGCTACTCCACTGGGTTACATTCCCGGCTCTTGTAATGTAGTTTTGTCGTCCTGTCACTTTCAGAATCGTGATGCTTTTACACATCTGAATCAACAAAACCTGATATTTGGAATGTGTATGTATAGCCTATATATACTAGCAGATAAGTCCGGCGTTGCTCGGGCAAAAAGTAACCATAGCGAAAATTAGCACTTCCATTGTCGAAACCTTAATCCTATCCCTCTCCCCGCGGGGGGAATTTCGAAAAATACTCTCTTCGTGTGCGTTTTCGTGACGTACCCTAACTGTGTACCAAATTTCGCCTTTCAACTCCTAACCGTTTGGGCTCTGCGCTTATTATTACGAACCCATCTCGATCAACGAAGAGTGGACGAATCCAACGTTTAACTAGACAATTTATTTACGGTTTAATATTTTAAGACAATGGCGACAATATCTGTGAAAATGTAGAAAGTGTGTAAACTATATAAGTATTTGGTTTTCCACATTACAACTTAGATTTTCCTCCCGGGCAACGCCAGTGTAACAAGCTGCTATATAATAAATATAAACTTTCTGCTCTATTGATACTAAAAGGAGCCGGTGATCATCGGGGTTTGTATAAACTCTTTAGCATTTCTGAATAATTCTGGACAGTGGATTAAATTATCATCAACCCGTTTCGATTATACATATAGACAGATTGTACAATGACAAAACGATTAAGTTTGAGGGTAGGGATGAGATTCGTAAAATTATAAAGATTAATAACTAGTAAAACCTTCATTAAGTCCGTCCTCTCTCGAAATATGACGCACGTACACTGAGAAGAAATTTTTGTAAATTCCCTCCCGCGGAGAAGAGGGAGAGGGTTACGGCTTAACCGAAGAACTCGACTTTTATTATATTATTTTAGATACGGACTTTTCGTACGTGACTGCGTTTAATAGAGTATGCCGTGAGAATGTACGTTAAGCCGTCCGGACTCGAGATAACTCGGGCTAATTTAAATAATCGTACGTAACTTTTCCTTGTTCGATTACCCCGTAGAATTCGGCTTTTACTGTAATATTTTACGTCATTTTTTGTACTTTTGCAGAAAATCGCAAATATTTTTAGACCCTTCTAAAAATTCTCAACCATATTTAGTGTTCGTGGTATTTAAAATTGAGACGGAGAGTGCACGCGCGAGAAGTTGGCTGTATTCCAAGTCTTTGTCTTAATGTTCGATTTTATGTTCGAATTTATATTTATAAATGATTCTGGAAGATCCGACTTATTTTTGGAATTAAGTAATCCCGAAGACCTCGGAAACGTTTGCTATTCGTCACCTAGGGGTACTACGCACCAGTTACAGGTTGCAGCGAGTCTTAATTACCGTTATTTCGGTATGGTAAGCGGGTATCTAAACATTCTGTACTTGCTCTCGGAAGAGAGGGGACCTACTTGTTGCACCCGTTGAAAACAAGTAAGATCGGCTATAATCTAATAATCTTAATCTTTGCTATCGTTACTTTTTGCCCGAGCAACGTCGGGGTCATCTGCTAGTTATAATATAATAATAAAACAAAATATAATTCTTTAAGTATAGAGTACCTAATAATATTTATTACATAGTATATAAATGTATTGACAAAATGTATGCAAGTTTAGTTTCATAACAAATACATAATAATACATAAGAAAACTTTGAGATTGTTGTTTTCTCGCTTTTTCATTTGCAAATCTGTCAATCGCTTTCTCCAGATCAAGATGACAAGCTATTGTTTTTTCAATTGATAATATTTTGCCAAGGAATAAGACAGTTGTGACATGCTGCTTCTTAAATAAGTTTTGATTAATTATAGTTTTGAAAAACTTTGTTCTGCTGATGCTGTCGTCGCTGGTAAAGTTGAAAAAATGAGGCATGCTGCAATAATGTCCAAGAAGTCACTTGAGGCTGTGGTGTGAATTAAAAGTAGTTCGGCAACTTTGTGTTTAGAAGTAATTTCTTTTACATGAGTATAAAAACAAATTTGAAATCAAAGCAATTGAGGTCCAAAACTAGACAAAATGTCAGAGGTATATGCAGATTGTAAAAGTTCTGATCCTTCCAGAATATTTTTATCAGATGACATGACAAAATATGCAAGTGATAATCATTTAAAAAGCGTACAAAATTGTCAAACGGATTCAAATTTAATAGTTAATTGATTAATTATTAAATGAAAATATTTTTTACAACTGTTTTTAAGTTTTTATTTTGCCCTTTCTAATTTGGTGCCCTCGTGATTCGTGTGCCTGGAGCAATTTGCTCTAACTGCTCCATGGTAGCTATGCCTCTGATTGGCATTATTGCCATCTTTTGTTTGTATTGATCAACTGCAGGTCAAAATTATCTATAATAGACAAAACATCAGATAATGTACTAATACTGTATCTAAAATTCAAGTCAAACAAAAATATTGCATTTATTAAGTCTTGAATCTATACCAAATAAATATGAAATTTACCTAATTGCCAACATTTGTGTAATTACTTTTACTCACAACAATATAGAATGATAATTTGTTTTGTTATTTTAATTAAAAAAAATATTACATTTTAAAATTAATTTTTAATTAAAGACATAATAACAATGAAAACTGACTAGTCGTTTTAAAATTATTTATTAAATATATAGTTAATTTGAAAGACATTACCAAAATTGATGTTTCAACATTACTTCCTCCAAAACTCTGCATGTTAATTTGAAAAGGCTTCCAAACAGGATTTAAGTTATTCATAATTACCTAAAAGTCAAATTAAAAATATATTTTATTTATGTTTTTAAATAAAGTATAATTATTGTAAAATTTCTAAATTACTCTACACAAAAGACCCACAAATTCTCCAACTCCTTATAAGACTAACTTTTATTATGTATTCATTTCATTTAAAACAGCTGTGTTTAATTAATAAAAGAAAAGAAGGAACATCACAAAACTCATGGTAGAAATATAAAGATATGTTTTGACTTTATTTCAGTCTTGCACATGACATCATACTCAGAGTTAATAGCTTTGAGTTTGTTTTGAATGTACATTCAAAAATAAATATGCCTGGTTGTTCAGTTTATGGATGTTTAAATTATTCAAAGAAGATGAAAGGAACAGAAATTAGATACTTTAGCTTTCAAAAAGATAAAAATATGTTCATGACTAAAGAAGTGGATTGAAATTTGTTGACAAGCTGATGACACAGAACATAGTTACATATGTTCATTCTTTTAATTAAACTTTTCATTATTATAGTTTTTATTGTATTTAAACTTTAAAATTAATTCAAAGTACAATAAAATCAATTGTCAAATTTACTTGAATAATTCTGTTAACATATTATAAAAAAGAAAAGAGTTAAATTTTGATCTTTATAGGCTAATGCTTGTAATCTGATTGTTACTTTTCACCACTGATATATAACTGTATATTTCCTGTACTGTGTTTTGTTACTCTCAATCTTATGTAGTCAATTCAAATGTTTAATTTATTGAAAAATAAAGTTGCAAGTCAATTATTTTGTTTTCTGATTTAAATATAATTATTTAACTTAATAAATATGTATTTATTCAAAATATTCATATTTTGTATCTGTTGATTTTTTTTAACACTTAAATTTAAATGTTTAACATTTTAATTACATGCAAAAGTTTTTTTTTTATTTGTTTAAAAGTTAAGTTATAAAGTTTAAAAGTTATAAATAGTAACACCTTAACTTTCAATATATTAAATTAAAGTTAATATCCTAAGAATTAGATTAATTTCTTTAAAAGTACATCTAAGTAGTTAACATCAATGTTTTACAACATTAAATTGCATTAGTGTAGGATATAAATATCATAATGATTAATTTGAGAGATCACCTATTAATTAATTAATTTACATTTACATACTGAAGCTATTAACAGTTAAATTTTGTTTAATAAAACTTTTAAAAATAAAATGTGTATAGTGATATACAGAAATACCGTAAAATTATGTTAATAATTCTTTCATGACTCTAAATATGTTAGAAAAGCAAATTTACTTTGTATATTTAGAATGAAGTGAATAGCACCATACTCTGAGTGGGATGTCATTGAAGTAAGTATGTGGTTCTATCAAATATGCAATAACATACTTTTATATTTCTACCATGACTAAACCCATGAATACAACAGATTTTACATTATAGAATATTTTTAAAAAATATTGAGCTAAAAATAANAGTTTTATACAGATAAAGTTCATTAACGTTTAATAGCTTGGCACTTGCTTTAATCAAAAGACTTGGATAAAGTTAGCATTAGCTAGTTAGTCCAAGCTTTATCCAATTCATGGGCTTTAGCCATGACATATACATTATTAATTTAAAGCAAAAATTAACCAATCTTTTATTACTATAGTTTGCAATTTTAAATTATTATTTTTTTGATTTAACATTAATAATAATAATTTTACTAACATTAATATTTAAGTGATGAAGCTAAAGCATTTGTACCAAATATTCCATCAAAATTAATCCATTATATGGATGATGATGAAGAACAAATTCTTGAATGTACAATATATGAACGTGAGACAAAGGTAGAGGTAAGTTTTTAATGTATAGTTTTTCAAATTTTTAAATAAAGATAAATGATAAACTATTTTACTTATATAAAAGTAAACTAATCAAATTTGGAAATTTATGATAACCTTATCTTTAATATAGTTTCTGTAATAATGAAATTTTAATATTGTAAATTAATTTTGTCTATTTTTAATGCTTTTGTTCATATACAAGCATTCTTCAATTTTCATATATTTGTCTTTTGAACAACTCAACAAAATATCAAGGTATCATGTACAAGAGAATGCATTTTTACATGATACTTTGATTCTTTAATTTGCTTTTGTATGCCAGATTTAAACTTTCAAATATCATATTTTCAGCTGACAAACAAAATATTTGAGCTATTGTATGAAGGCACTTTCTACCAGTTTTTGTTTCAACAACAGCAAAATTGATTGTAAAATTAATTTTTGTCTGTTTAATATATGATTTTAACATTTTAGATGATGATTTATGAATTGTTATACATATTTATTTCAAAAAGTTAAACCTTAATAAGAGAGTTTATAAATTTTTTTAGTTCTCTAAGAATGGAATTCACTTTATAACCTTTCTTGTGAATATCAACTGCTTAAAGTCGAAATAACAAAAATTTACCTCACTATGTAAACATAGAATTCTCCTTTGAATTATTTTCTTGATTAAATGCTTTTCGAGATGCTTTTTGAGATGCTTTTTATCTCATCTTCGGATCAAATCATTGAATTTAGAATGTGAAGCATCATTTAAGTGAAAGGTTTCTTTTTAACATCATAATGGAAGTTAAAATGGAATATTGTTTAAAGTTTTGAGGTGTATCAGATTTGAATGAAGACATTGGTTATCTTTTGATTTTGTTTTCATTTTATAATATGCCACTCTATTGCTCAAATTTCAGACATTTGACTTCTGTACAAATTTTTAGAAATGAATCAAATCCAAAAGTCAAGGATGCCTTTATTAGAAAGTAAATAATATCAAAAGAATAAAAACATCATTAGGAATTTGATTTCAATTTTGATAACTTTATTATTCTAGTATATACAGCAGAGCATCGATTATCCAACCTCCGATTAACCATCACATCGGTTAACCGACCGTTCTAGTCGGCAAATTTGAAATGTCCGCTAGTGATGTGGCATTACAATATTTGGCTATGTCTTGGCTACTTTAATATTATTTTTGTTAATTTTTTTTTTTAACTGGCATCAATGGCTCGACCATTGAAGGAAGGCCAGTATTTAAATGAGACTTAATTTTCTAATTATAAGCGGTTGTTTGTTTTGTGAGCAATAAAATAATTTAAAAATAATTTTTAACGACACAATAGCGACGATTATTATTTTAAAAAAATTTTGTTAGGTTTAACATCGATGAAAATTCAACGCAAAGTAGGTTAATAGCGATATACTAATATACTAATTACATGGGATTTAATAATATACTATACTAATAATGTATTTTACATACTTTTCAGTTATCCGACCAACCCCAGTCCCAAATTGAATTGGATAATCGATGTGCTACTGTACTGTGTTATACAAGGGATACCTGTATTTGTATTTTGCTTTATTTTTTACACTAATTTACTTATTTAATATACTAAAACCTTTAACTTCTAGCTTAAATAATCCATTACTTATTCAACAACCTCAGGAATACATCTGATGCCTAAATAAAGCACTGACAGACATTTTAACTCTTGAAATATTTCTAATTGTTTAAATCTTTTATCATTACTTTGCACAGTAAATGTCTAAAAATGGTAAATCATTCACCTCTGTCCGATGAACTAAATGCCAGTTTCCATCTATACTTTTCACACGAAATTCAAGAAATGGATCCGATTTACTGAAGAAATCCTAATAATTGAAATTTATATTAAACTACTTTATTATTATTTTATAGATGATTTTATATTTAAAATTAATCAAACCTTATCATCAAGATTTTTTGCATGAAAGGAGAGTGAAAGAAGATCTTTTCCTTCTTTGCCTACTTCCTGAGCTCTTATCTAATAAAATAAAAAAAATTAGTTATAAATCCAAGAAAAACATCAATGAAGTAAATGCAATATGATTCATACTAATTAGATTACATACAATTTTTGCATTTATCATTATTATTTTGCAACATAAAATAACAACAAAGCTTACTGTTATGGTGCTTTGCAATCTCTGCCCAAATTTTGATATTAAATTTCTTGTAAAAGGAGATGAAGAAACAACCTAAAAAAATATTTGGTTATTAAAGTTCTTCAAAAGTTAAGTAAATTTATGGAACTTCAAAGACAGTTTTCAAAATTTCATAAATAATTATTAATTTTAATGCATATAAATTTATCTCAAAGCAAAAATAACCAGGAAATAATCATCATAGTATACACAAAAATAATCTGATATATATATACTAATTAAGTAAAATTTGGAGTTCTTAAAGCTAAATGATTGCTGAATTATATTGGACTATATTATTTCTAATATAACCTGATATAATTTGGCAATAGTTTGACTTTAATATATAATTATTGGGTGTGGATGTTTATATTTGTATATTTAGAATTCTGTTAATAAAATGGAAACTTAAATATACCAGCTGACACTTTTTTAAATACTATTTATTGAAATGATTTGTTGTAATGAACATCTGTGATTATTAATATTTCTGGTTTTATTATTATCATCTTTTTTTACTATAAATTTGTTGATTTCTTTCATTTCTTTAACACTTTTATTCTGAAAGTATTTTTTAAAATATATTTTTACCCGATTTGCAAAAGAATAGTGACGAATTCTCTAGTAAATAGCAATAGTAGCATCATTGATGATAGATAATAACTTTATTTCATTCTATTAAAGTGATGCTAAGAAAAAATACAATGGATATTTAAATTTTACTGTTATTTTATATATTTTGTTAAGTTTTAAATGCTTGTTAATAATGGAAAATTATAAAAATCATCTAACTGATATGATATAAAATTTTTCCAACATAGCATAAACCAATGTTTTTAACTCTTTCCTAAATATGGACAATGTCTTGTCATTTTTAAAGTATTTTTTAAAGAACAAATCTTGACACTATTATATAAAAATTCAAGTGGGCTACTAATTACACCAAAAAGAAACATTTTTTGTTCCATCTTCAGCTTTGATCGGAATAAAAAACAATATAATTTAAAATTAACTAATCAAAACTAAAAGTACATTTGCAAACCATTTAGCCCAGTTGAAATAGGCAAGAAGTAAGTCAATGGCTACCATGGACCACTACAACAGGAGAAAGGAGTTGGGTCTATCACAGTATCAGAGAAACTATTGGTTGCAGCAATAAGCAGCTGTTAAACAGAAGGGATAACAAATCAGCAATACTTATTGAGAACCGGTGATGTGACAGCAATGTGAGTACACAATTGAACAATGATAATTATTTAATTTAACTCATTATTACAAAAAAATGAGTACAGAATGATATACATATATAATATAATTACAACTGAGCATAATATACAAGGTGTTTAACCAAATTTCATAGGCTAATAGAAGGAAAAATCCAAATAAAAAAAATTGAAGTCTTTTTTTGACCTGAAGCTTAATTAGTGAATTATTTAGTGTCAATGTACAGTAATATCATTTCTATTTTTTTTAATCTATGTAATGTATCAATAATTAAATTTGTTTATTAATCCCAATTTCTTATTTTTTCAGCTCATTTTTTAATTAATCCCTACTTTTTAGATATGATAATGATTTATCAAGAAATTGATTTATTAAATCCAAACTGTAAACATTATTGTGAACATCACAAGTGCTCAAAATTCCCCATGAGCATCCACACAGGTCTGCAAACATCTTATTGTCAAACACACTCAAATACGTCAGGAGTATTACAAATTGTTTCCAATATTTCAACAATACAATATCTTAGAACTTGTACATTGGTAATAGTAATTTTCACAAGTCATTGATTTTAAATGCTCCATAAGAAAACATCTAGAGGATTTTGAAGTGGGATTGATCTCCATTATTACAATAATTTCCACTACATTTAATCTTTACTTGGAACTAACTTTATTTCTCCAAACTAAATTCTTCACTAAATTTCATGATACATTCGTTGGTATCTGAAATGTCATTTACACAAAGAGTGAAGTACGTAAACCGTGTTCATCAGTGTATGAGTCTAGACGTTTGTTCTGCACCAAAAATGGAGAAACAAATGGTTTGCATCCATTGTCCTCAAGTCAGAGTAAGAGAAGTGTTGTTGTTGTCTTGTGACATCGTTTTCTTCTTTTCGTGTTGCTAACCTTCTTCTCACTAGGACCATGCTCTCTGCCATCACAATTTAAATCAGGAGATCATGCAGGCAAAATTAATGGTGTTTCCAATCCATCTATTTCAAGGTATTCTTGTTCATGGTGACTAAAATATGCTGTAACACCAACATGTGTGAAGAACATTTAGTGTCAAATATCCAATAGAGCATCTTTTAACAGAATATTTAGTTCTTCATTTAAGAAATGTCTGTAATTCTGGCCTGTGAGTGGTGAAGCAGAAAAAATGAGCCAATCAAAAATCACCAATTATTCTAGTCCAAATGGTTCAACTAAATTATTGCTGATAATAAGATTAGTTGATAGCTTGAGGAGTTTCCTAATCCCATACACATTTGCTGTGCAAGTTCACAATTGCATTTCAATTGAATATCATTTCACTGTAAAAAGCATATTTCTGAGAAAATGCCACACCATTTGCAAACATCATTGACAAAATTATACTTGTAGAGGAAAATTGAATAGCACTAGTACTTTCATTCACTTTAAATGGTATGTATATGCTTGATATTTACAAATAATATACCATACACTTCAATGAGTGGTGCCTCTGTACTCATACTAGGATTCTCACCAACTCTAGTGTGAGATAAGCAGGGGTCAGGGGTTAATCTTGTACTGACCACTTCATCTGCACGGGCTGGTAAAGCCCAATCTCAGAATCTTTCGGATGGCTAGGAGGGCAAATCAAGTGGGGAGTGTGTCGGTAAGTCGACAGGTTTAACAAATAACAAAATAAAGGTTTATTCTATAACTAAAGTTAATTTACAGGAGTATACATAAGGAAGTTACTGATTATTGCTTAGATGCAGATAACACATAAATCTGTCTATAACGGTGATCTACTATTCACTATGCCATGTGAGAGAGTTTACAAAGGCTCTAGAGTGAGAGGTTACTGCACTTCGATATACCTTAATATGATGTCAAATGACGGTATGCGACGATCATTCTGGAGTATGGAAGCTGGCTGGCTGTCACAGGCTTATATCTTTTACTGGCTTCTCCTTGGACAGGACCGGGACGGGAGACACTTGTACTCAGACCTTCCGAATAATCACACTGAGGGGACAATCGCCCTGAACTTCCTGTGATGATTGTTTTTATACGATTGTCATTGGCACTGAGCCAACTGATCGTTCACTCGTTATGATGACTAATTAGCACACGCACGTTGACTAATTAACAAACAGACGATGACTTGCTTTTCTTCCTTCCTACTTTGTCGACGTGTAAGATTCGACATCCGATCTATTTCCATTATAACTTGCGATAATTTTTTTTCATCCTCTAATGTAAAAATATGTTAAACTCAAAAATTTACGCCCTCACACTAGCAATAAGAAGTCACACTGCCATATTCTTGGTCACGTGATCCTTCCTCTTCCTTTATCAATGATAACTATTGAAAGTTTTCTGTTTCTCAAAGATACCATTGAACAGCTGCAAAAATATTCTTGGCTTGACTGATTAAATTAAGAAATTAATTAAAAATGAAAAGTTTAATACAGAAACTGTGTTTAATAAACAAATTTAATTATTAATACATTACATAGTTAGTTCATTGTTATCAACTCTGTCTAATAATCACATAACATAAAAATACTAAACTTTTTACGGAGTATACACTTCTTTAAGTTCTAATGGGAACCATCTTTATCACATTAGAACTTAATTAAAGCATGCTCCTTAAATATATTAGTGTTTCTTGGTATATTTTTACATAGTTATTCCTAAAAATCAAAAATGATGTCACTACACATTAATGTTTATGCTTATTAACTCCCTAATTATGTTTCAGATGAAAAAACTCAGCTTTTAACTGTTTTATTTGGGTTTTAGTCTGGAAATCACCACCCAGAAAAAATTTCCAAGTTCTTTATCTACCTATTCATCCCCTTCCTTAATTAGCATTAGCATTCAATAGTCTGCTTGCACTTTTTAAATAAATAAAAATGCAAAATTAGATTTAGATTAATATTACGAATTTTTATATCAAATTTCTTATTTTTCTTCCATCCATTTATATTTGATTCTTTATACTATAAAATACATTACATTTTTTATTTGATTTATGTAATAACATATTTCTTAATGAGCAATTATTTTCTGTGAAATTATCACAATGCCAGGCTGCAATCTTTTTCATGATGTACTTAAGTTCAGTAGTGTCTTGCTCCAATACACCATACTTTTCCTGTTAACAATGAAGTCATATCTGTCATCTATTTAACTTCATTCAGGAGAAAATTTTTAAATTGAAAAAACATAACTTCCAACCCAAAGCAGAAATTTGTATATAGTTAATTGGGGCCTCCTGCCCCTAAGCTTTCCATATCTGGTCTTGACTTTCATCTAACACTGTTCTCAAGATTAAGGAAGGACAGACAACAGGCAGATGGATAACAGTGGGAATTCAAGGGTCTATAATTTTTTTCAAATCGCAGCCCAATCAAAATTTAAATGACTTACAACAACAATTTTGTGTGTAAAAATCATCTGTTTGAAAACTTAATTATTTTTATTTAATTTAAAATAATTATATTGATATTACCTCTCCCATTGTGCATTCTAAACCTCCAAGATAATCATCATCTGCTAATGTAATTGTTTCATTGTCAATGTCATAAACACAAAATTTCAGTTTCTGTACTTCTTCAAAAAAGTAGTCTACTTTTATTGGTTTACAAAAATCAGGATTTAAATTGTTTTTTATTATTTCAGTTCTTCCTTTCTGCAATATAAAAAGTATTAAATATTAAAATTTATAAAATGTAAAAAGTAAATATCAAAAATAATATAGTTTTATGTTATATATCATAAAACTTTATTATCAATAATAATATCAATAATAATGTTTTATATAAAAAATTTTGCTCTTTTATCAGATCATCAATAACCTTTTTTATTTGATTCTTTCTGCCGTGGACATCGAGAGAGCCTTTTCTCAAGCTCATTATGGGTTTGGACAGACCCACATTGGTGACAAGGGTAGTGAAGTCCCGATACCACAAAAATATCGATATCAGTAATATGAGTAGTTTTAAAGTATCAATACTTGGTATTGGTCTTAAACTATTGATACTGGCCAGTTTTTGGCATTGGATATCAAAGTTGGAAATCTTTTCAGCTGTTGCTGTTCAGTCTGTCATGTCACCTTCCAGTTGTTCTTACTACTGAGAAGGTACTGTATTCATTACAATAAAAACTGAGTGGGCCCCAGAGCAGCAATTAATATTATGTTGCTTAGTCCAGGAGATTGAATTCCAGCTATCTGGTTCAGAAGTCAGTGCATTAGTCACTACTTCAGTTTACACTCATGTGACATCTTATATACTGTACACTCAAAAAGCAGTAAAATAAAAAAAGAAAATTTTATTAATTTTTCACTTAATTTTCTTGTATAAAATGCCTAAATTGAATGACATTGATTCTGTTATCAACTTTGCTTTCATGTTGTTAAAATGTCAATAGTTTGATTGGAAGCACATGACTTTTGGTTCCATCCTTCTATCACATCATAACTTGATTGATGATAGAATGTTTCACACTTATTTTTGGATTAAACCGTTTATAAATGCATAATGCGGTAATTAAAAATTGATATAACTATATAAATTTTTAAATAATTTTATAATTTATTTTTTATTATTTGATATAATAAATATATTTATTTTTATAACAAGTGATTAATATTTTTAAATAGTCTATTTACTTTTAACAATAATTTTTATTTTTTTAAGTACATGATAAAATAATTTATTTTTTTATCATTTGAAAATAAATAAATAAATAAGGTGTAATCATATGCCAATAAAACAATAATATTCTCTGATAAAAAGTTCAATTGTTTTAGATTTATATAATTACATTTTTTTTTGTCAAGATTTTATCTATTAGGATAATTAATTTATCTATCTCAGTATCATAATATCTAATATCTGATAATCATGTGTGATAATACAATTATAGAAACTAATATTGTTTTAGTTACTTCCTGAGTTTTAAACTATGCTAATATCTTAGAAACTATAACTTTATTTAATGTAATTATATTAAATTTTATTAAAAATTATGATAAAAGATTTGACATTTATGAAATAAATAATGTAATGTTATGATATAATAAGGGATACAATGAAAATTTTTAATAATAACTAAAGTTATATAAGAATATTAATTCATAATATAATAAAAGGTCCTATAAAGACTAAGAAAGAATTAAAAAAAATTAAATTAAATTATTATTTTCAGTTTTCTGGAAATTATATTAAGTACATATTTAATGCAGTGATGAGCAACATTTTCTGGATGTGGATCACACAGGAATTTCATAGTCTTATGATGCACAAGAACCTTACAAACAATAAAAACTGTGCACTGCACAGCATACAGTTTTTATTGCTATGTATTATTTTCTGTGTTCTATTGTAATGTTTATCTATTGTGCCCTAAACAGTACATGTTTTGTATGGAATAACATGTTACAATATGTAAACTGTATTGGCTACAGCATTCAAAGTAAATGCTTTTTAGCAATCATATTAATTGTTTGATGATCATAAAGTGATGTTTAAGAATTTTACATCCTAATATAATAGTTTGTTACATATTAGCTTTTTACTATACAGGATGTCTCAAAAATATACGGCATATAATCTCCCGAAAGAGTTTCTCATGTGTTGAAATAAACTATTTTTAGTGTCTACATAAGTCTGGAAATGCTTGGCTTCTAAGTTGTGTGTCATAGACAGAAACTCGAAAACCAAGCATTTCCAGATTCATGTTGATATAAACTATTTTTAATATCTATATATGAGGAACTAACTCATTCCTGAGGTTTTGCTGTGTATTTTTGAGACATCCTATATTTTAGTTAGATTTTAAGATATTGATTGGAAGTTTGGACTGTTGTAACATATTACAATTATTCTCATTACAATAAATGAGAATATAATTAACATCCAGTTAAGGTTAAGGTTTTTTCTCAGAATGTCTGATTTTCAGAAATAGCTTACTGATGTTAAGCAAAGATGTCTGTATGTTATCATCAAACAAAAACTTAAAACTCTGTTTATAATATTAATGTGTCTGCTTTATAATATTGTGAGATCTGAATAGCCCCTGGGTCTAATTAACAATTTAAATATAAAATTAAATTTATAAAATAAAATATTCTTTCAGTTTGGTGTGAAATTATCATTTTTCTAACGAGGGAAAACTGATAAAAGAGCCACTTCCTTTAATGAAAGTAGACACATCCTTTTGTTTTTCCCTTATCTATCACAAATCTCACCACACTGGGAATTGTCGACCCCTCAATAATTCTCCTTTTCATCTGTTCACATGAGAGAATACAAATAAGTTGATTGGTCACAAATCATGGGATATAGTCAAAGATCTACATGATTTGGGAGTACGTCAGGGGATCTCATACTGGAAAGAAGTTCCCATATTGTCTCCCTAAGGCCAACGTCCTTAGTCTGAAGTACGTCAGAAGATCTCATAGAGGAGAGACGTAGTCCATATTTGCTCCATAAGGCCAATTGCCCTTAGTCATATCCAATCAAGTATAATAATGAGTTAATTTAGGAAAAAGGAAGAAACTTTTAATATTGTGCCAAATCAAGACCTCTCCATGAAATGAAGTATGATCCTAGAATACAGATGAAGATAAAGACAAAGTAAACTTTGAGGTAGTATGATTATCCATGAATTTGTAAGCTCTCTCTCTCTCTAAGCGTATATTTTAATTGAATCCATATTGTCTCTCATTCGCTTAATTTTATTTTTGAATAATTCCATTTGTGTAATTTTATTTACTTTTAGTTTATTAAATCCTTTATTATTTGTTAAAGCAATGTTTCATCTTGGTCTGAATCAAATCCATATTATCTCCAAATGTGTGTTAATCTGCGTGTTATAAAACTGATTAACTGGTGTCAAGGAATCCTGACAAGATCTAGAATTTATCCTCTAGATCGTTCTTTATATTAACAGCCCTCCTAGAATAAGATTTAGAGATCGGATCTCTCAATCCAAAACTCCGAGAACTAGTTTTACAAACTAGTGCCGATTAAGTGGTACTAACAATCCTAGTGGAAAGGTACCCCCGGCTAATCTCACAATATCTACAAATGTGAAAATCATATCCTGTCATATATTACTTTTATTAGCAATTATACTGATTCAAAACATATTTTTCTTTGATGATATCACATTTAGGAAAGCAGACAATCATACTTGTAAAAGTTTGAACTTTTAATGAAGAAATTTTGAAATTCTAAGTAGATTTTCATTTATTGAAAGAATCACACACATTTTTTTCTATAATTGAATTAGACAAGGTTGTTTCATTACTTGCAATATTTTTCTCTCAAATTTAAGTTGCTAGTTCAATACTAAATATTTGGTTTTGGCTTTTTTAAATTAAAAAAACCAAGAACAACTCCTATAAATCTGAAAATATGTGCTTAATGTTTTTGAAGTCATAATTTTTATTTTCTAAATTCTACAGACTATCAGACTGTATCAAAATATATAATCATAATGAACTAAATGATATAACATAGAATTTGGACAACAGTATTGACATTCTTTGTTTGCAAAGCAAATGTTCAATCAAAATAGCTTTTAGTATTTAATATAGTTGTATTTTTTCTTTTACGTATTTTATTTTCCTATTTTCTGTCTCTTGCCATTATGTAATCTTTATTAAGCTGATAATCACGATGAAGAACTAAACTTCACTAGTGAAAAGATAAGAATAAATCATATATTACTAGTTTTCATATCAATGGCATATATTATTTTAGTACCTAGTGTATTGGCAATGATGGCATATTTTGAAACTCACCAGGCTTAAAGCCTGCAAGAAAAAAATTTGTTTAAAAAATATGATTAAAAAAACAAGAAATAAATAGAAACACATTTTAAAAAATATCTCCAACATTATCAACACTTTCCAAACTGAAGATATACATTTAAAACATAACTCACTAAACCTTTAGATTCAGCTAACAGCTCTTATAATCAAAAAATTTTCAACTTCTTAAAGGCCATCTTAAATGCTTTCTAGACAGAACATTTCTTAAAGTGTTCCAACTAGAAAACAATAAAATTGTTAGCTGAAGCTAAAGATTAGCAAGTTATATTATCTCTAACACTTCTGTAAATTGTAGAATTGATTGACTACTGTTAATGAAATCACAAAAGCGTATTTAGTCCTACTGTTATAAAAATTGGATTGTTGCTGTGATGCCTTCTCAGTAGTAGCAACATTCAAGATACATATCTATTTTGTTGATAATCAACTTTTCAAAATGTCTACATCTGATTCTGATGTTTTATCAATTGTATCTTTTTCTGTACATTGTTTTATTAGAAATGTTGTATTGGATTTTTGGAATGTAACTATAAATATTTCCTATATAAACATTGACTGAAAGGTATTTAAAGGTATTAATACATACACTTTATGAAGTTTGACTATTAAAACCCAAAAAATAATCTACCAAGAAAATATTAATATTAATTGAGGCATTTTGTAGGGTATGCTTATATTCTTAGAAATATATGGTTAGGAAAATTATTCACTACAGAATAATTCTTAAAAATTTTCATTAAGCATGCAATTAAATTTTTATATCTTATAATATTTTAAAATATATACTTAGTTTAATACTAAGCTGTTTTTAATGATTGCATTTCATTTTTGAAATAAAATTATATCAAAATTCAGAAATATTCAAAACATTTCACAAAAATTAAGGTTTTAATTGTGTGTTCTTATCATAGAAAACAATCAATACCAAGCTAGTTTAAATGAAAACATTATATTATATATCATTCCTCTTCTTTAAATTATTAGTTATTTTACTCTTATAAATAGTAAGGTATAGTTTTCAAAACCTAAAAAAACTCACTTCTAAATATCCACCTCCTTGATACAAATAAAGAACTACAACTGGATCAGATTTAGACATAATATCTTTGTCCAGTAAATTACGACAACTGCATAAAATCTCGACTTGAGTCACACACATTGTAGGTGGTGGCCCGTTGCAGGCAGATGGGGGTTGAAAATGCGCCATCTAAAATTAAAAAAAAGTAATTTTTAAAATGTATTTCAGTTTATCTGAAATTACAAAATTAAAAATATTTAACCAAAATGATTCATCAAAAGCAAATAATACTTTTATGTTGTTAGCTTTATTATTCATATTTCTGAAAATTTTGGAAATTTCCTTTATACATTTTCAAAGTTTGGTTGTTTATGAAATATCATGTATTATAAAATACAATGTTTTATAATACACGTATGCATTTTATATTAATTTCTATATACAGTAGAAACTCAATTAGTTGAAGTGATCAAAGAAAGAAAAACTAGAATGTGTAGCATTTTATATATCACAGAATGTACACAGAGATCATATTCTTCACATAACTGGAAATTACTGTTATCTGTTGATGCAAAACCAGGCCATCTATAACTTAACATACAAATGTTAGATTTTGAGTAAATTAATTTTCTTTCAAATACAGTAATTGCATTATTTATTGTTCATGAAATTTTAAATGCACAGTAATTGATGAACCTAAATCACAAAACCAATGACTTTCTGAATTATCCAAAATATCCCTGGTCCTGTCGAGTTTCCACTGTACAGTAGACCCCCCTATAAAACGGGTTCATATAATGCAGATTCGTATATAATGGCAAAAAATTGTGACCATATTCGTATAAACACACTAAAAGAAACTCATATAATTCAGTAAAACGTTATCACTGACTCATGTTGCGACAGGATTGGTCAAATCTAGCCCAATAGCAGATATTGCACAAACCGTTGAGTTTAAACAAGCAGTGAACCTACTAAAAACCATTTATTATTTAATGGCCATAAAAATTATATTTACATTAATGATGTCTCCAAAGTTCAGAAAATTTTTTGCAGAAAAATAATTTATCAGGAAACATGTGCCCACCGTTTGATGTGCCGCTCCACGACGAAAACAAGCTTAAGCAATGGCGTCGTTGAACGGTGCACACTTGGTAAGTAATCCTACAATTTTTTGTTTATAGGATAGTTTATATAGATTATTCCCAGAAAATTATACATGTTTTGGAAATGTTGAGTCAAATTAGTCTAGAATTGATTAATTTTATGGAAGAAAACCTTTCAAACAGTCATAGTCTGTAAACTGCATACGTGCCGGGCTGTGATTGGCTCATGTATTTAAGGACTTGTAAAACATGAATTTCATATAAAACGGAATGTATCTACCTTGTTATGGGGGTCAACTGTATATTTCTTTCTGTTGTGTGGGGGTGTCTATTTCACTTAATATCTCAGGAGGGTGTAAAGAGTAAGTAACAAAATTTGGCACGGTGGCTTGTATATAAGGGGCATTGACATTGTTAAATTTTGGTGGTTAAAGGTCGAGGGAGTGGGGAAATAAAGGGGGTCATGTGTATCTCCAGTAGGGTCAAACTTAATGACAATTTTATTCATTATTAATATAAATATTATTTCTATAAAACTCATCCCTACCCTCAAAATGAAGGTTTTTGCTATTTTATAGTATTTAAAAATATAAAAATTTTTTTATAACAAAATCACATAATAAAACTGTGTGTGGCACCATCTGTTAAGTTACAAGTCGAAAGACCTGATGCAGGCATTGGGGCATACTAAATTACAAATAAAAATAATAATATACCGAGTATTATACTGTAAAAATATAAAATAATTTATATTGTTAATTTAAATAATAGCTAGGGGTGCCACTAGTTGCCATTTTTGGCATACCATGAGAGAAAGAAAGAAAATGCCCAGTTTTTCAGCTTTATTTAGCAGATATCGTAGTTAAAATTATAAAAGTTATTTTCTAAGTAATATCTCATAATAGCTGAGAAAGTTATGAAACTCATTGCTGGATTTTTTCTTTGTATGTATGGATGTTAGTGTGTCTGTGTGGGGGGGGCACAATTTTGTTCACCCTGTTTGAAGCTTAATAACTTCTGTGCTTTTTGTTGAAAGTTTCTGAAATTTTGCAGGGAGGTTTGTGAATTAGATGGATTGAATTTTGGTGGTTAAAGGTCAATGGGATAGGGAGATAAAGGTGGTTGTATCATAATATAATGATAATTTTACTCATTATTAGCATATACAATTTTTTATAAAACTCATCCCTACCCTCAAAATTAAGCTTTTTGTCACTTTATAATAATTAAAAATATAAAAATTTTAAAAAATAAAATATAACAGATGGCACCACACATGCAATTTTAAATATTGCTGGGAAAGTTATGCAACTGGTGGCTGTATTTTATTACTTAAATAACATTATACAAAATAAAAAGTATACATACAGTGGGTGATCAGTTAACAAACATAATCCGTTCCAAGACCGTGTTTGCTACCCAATTTGTTCATTAACTGATTATCAATTTATCATAGATTGTTACGAGAATTTGATTAATTCATTCTGGAGACTCCAAAAATAAAAAAAATATATACATATATACTTTCTTACTATGTTTGTTTATATTTAATAATAAAAATATATATATACACAGTCTTGCATTTTTATCAGTCATCTTTTTTTCCAATTCCATTAATTAATTAATTAAAACGAAGTAATTAATAGCAATGTCGTTGTAGAGATCTCAAGCCTATTAACCTCAACCTGGTTTGGATAACTGTTGTTCTGTTATCTTCCCACTTCAAAAGATCTTTAAAAGCAGATGTTGGCATTGGTCTTCTTTTGTCTTCCTCTTTTTCAAAAGTAAATACATCTTGATGAGTTTCTTGGTGTTCTTCATTTAAGAGTTCTTGGAGTTCTGTCATCAGATCAGTTTCCATTATAATCTCTTCAATGTTCTTTATTTCTCAGATGTGATTTTCATTACTTCTTTAGCTGCTTGAGTCTTCTTGATTATATCTCTTAGCTACAATTGTGCCTACTGTAGACCTGTTCAAACCATACCACCTAGCAACATAAGACATCTGCCCACTCTCTACCTTAGCTATTATCTCTTGCTTTGTTTCTGTGGTGAGCACAGTTCTTGAAATTCCACTCTTTTTAGGCTCCATAATATCAGTTTCTTTATTAATAAAAAGTTCAGAAAAGCACTTACAAAAATTCAGAGAACAGAAATCAACTAGTGCATGAAAGAATTATGTAAATGTGAGGCCCGGATGAAATTCGAAATTTGGTGTTAACACGTTAACGAATATCTGATGGGACAGTTTAACTATCACCTTCCGAAAACAAAAACTGATGGAAAACTTAACAAGTGACTGCCTAATAGTCTCACAAAGACTATAAAAAAATTCTCTGTCAGAAAGATAAACAAAAGGCTGGAATTACAAGAGAAAGTTTCAAAGTTCGGAAAAATACTATCCGATCGGTATTGGGTTGAGTGTCAATGTTGACATCTCCTGAGCTCTGAAAGGTTTCGAATTGTCACCTAGAAACAAGGGAAGACCAATTGATATTCACTATTTTACAGCGCCTCTTGAGTTTGTTCTATGAGGTGTTCATTAACAGAACATAAAAATCTTTTGTGAATTTGTTTGTTATCTAATTTGTTTGCAATCTGAAGAGTTCGTTAACCAATCATCCACTGTACATTAACTGTAAGAAGCTTTAAATACAAAAAGCAATTGAAAATTTAAATTACATAATCATAATGTTTATTTGGTGATCCATCTTATCCGATTAAATTTTGCTTTTCCTTCAAACTTAAATCAGTCTATTGTTTCCCTTTTATATAAAGCTTGCTTTCTTTTAGCTTAACCTCTGTTTCAAAATTTCTTCAAACTGTTCCTTTGGCAAGAGTAAGCCAAATTGACTTTAGAAAAAAATCTGTTCAGTGCTAGCTAAGTTGGCTGGAATGCTTAATGATGTCACATGCTAGTGACATCATTATGTCACTAGCATGTGACATAATGATAATGACATCATTAAGTCACATTTAATGAATAGAGAACTTTGTTGATCTTTCCAGAAGAATGTTGGAACCAATTCATCATTTACGTCATACACTGTATCCAAATATCATTGGAATTTCAATTCTGTGAATGTATCAAGTTTCCATGAGTTTTTTATCTGTGTTTTCTTTAGTTCTCTTCAATATTGTTTCAGAAACTTGAATTGTTTTGAACTAGATTCTTGTCCATCCTGTGACTGGATTGTGGAATCCACAAAACTAGGGTCGGAGTGGGAGTTATCTCCATGAAATGAGGGATTAATAACAGCAAGTTTGATGTACATGAAATTCTTTACTAATAGGCATTTCACAGTTTGTCGGGAATCTGTCAACATAACTGCAGAAGCTCTTGACCAACAAGGGTAAAGAGTTACTACAGTTATGTAAACAGAAACAAATGCAGGATTTTCCTCTTCCTGCCAGACCTGGAATATTTGATTTGTCATCTTCCAGTTTATAACAAATTCTTTAGGATTGGCATAGTTTTCAGTCTGTAAGTGATATTTCAACTCTGCAACTGGACAAGACAAGTGAAACAGTAGTTCATGTTTTACCTATAGTGATGGGTGTGCATAGCAAATGGTTCCTTTAATGTTTTGAAGTTCTCTATCTTGTATACTTCACTTGGCTACAGTTAATTCCATCTTGACTCATTAAAATCTTCACAAAGTTCATCTTTTACCGATAACAGTGACTCAATAAATAGATACTTTGTGCAGACGTATGGGACATGGCATTCTTATAACTCTTCCTGCTTTTTTCCTCTGCATCATTTTAGCTTTCAACAAATGGTTTTGGTTTTTTACTGCTTTCTCAGCCTTTTTAAGAGCTGCATTTCACATGCTGCTAGATCTGCTTTGCAAGCCACCAGATCTATGCAATAATCAAAGCAACTTAAACAAATTATGCTATTTCTGAATGCTAGTCAATGTTATAACTCCAAATAATCATTCTCTCTTCTTCAGAACCAACAACTATAGATTCAGAGTTAGTCATCACTATCATCAGTCTCATCATGGATATTCCTGAAAGTCGTTACTATGTTGCTGTCATTATCAGACAAAATTCAGAGAACTTTCCTAATAGAAATGGATCACTCTTCCAGAATTTTCTCTATCAGTTCACAAATCTAAACCCAGTGTGAGGATGTTCAAACAAATAGACAGCAAGTAGCATGCTGTGTTTCTTGTGATCTTTTTTACTGATGAAATGAGTTGTCAGGCCAAAAAAAGATCCCAACATCTCCTTAGTTCACAAGTCTACAGAAATGGTTATATAGTTAGCCTTATTCAAATATTGTCTTTCATATCTGTGAATATATCAGTAATTTTTGCAAGCTGGGATTATCTACGTACTTTATACAGTTGAATCAGTCTATCTCAAACATGTTTATCTCAAAATTTATTGTTTCTTCCACATTTTCAGCCTAAATTCAATATATTTTTCCATGTTTATCTCAAATAATTTTCTACCAAATCTTCTATATCTCAAATTATGGACTGAAGTGTCAATTCCAATTTCAAAGCTCAGCAACCATATTTTGATAGCATAAACTGTAGTTGAGAAACATCTCTTGCAATATAGTACGTAGTTGCAATTAATGCCATTTTTCTCTGATTGGCTGCAAGTTTGTTTTGGTTTATTTGTTGATGGCAATGCGACACATGGGTGATTGCTGACAGGACTGGCTCCCGGGAGGACTTTCTATGGGAAACTGGCCTCTATTTACATGCTACAAATGTAAAGAAAATCCAGAAAACTCCACATGGTCAGTCTGTTGGCAAGGCACAAACCCACAACCAGTGTTCAGTACAGTCGACCCCCCTATAAGGCCATCTTAAATGCTTTCTAGACAGAACATTTCTTAAAGTGTTCCAACTAGAAAACAATAAAATTGTTAGCTGAAGCTAAAGATTAGTAAGTTATATTACCTCTAACACTTCTGTAAATTGTAGAATTGATTGACTACTGTTAATGAAATCACAAAAGCGTATTTAGTCCTACTGTTATAAAAATTGGATTGTTGCTGTGATGCCTTCTCAGTAGTAGCAACATTCAAGATACATATCTATTTTGTTGATAATCAACTTTTCAAAATGTCTACATCTGATTCTGATGTTTTATCAATTGTATCTTTTTCTGTACATTGTTTTATTAGAAATGTTGTATTGGATTTTTGGAATGTAACTATAAATATTTCCTATATAAACATTGACTGAAAAGTATTTAAAGGTATTAATACATACACTTTATGAAGTTTGACTATTAAAACCCAAAAAATAATCTACCAAGAAAATATTAATATTAATTGAGGCATTTTGTAGGGTATGCTTATATTCTTAGAAATATATGGTTAGGAAAATTATTCACTACAGAATAATTCTTAAAAATTTTCATTAAGCATGCAATTAAATTTTTATATCTTATAATATTTTAAAATATATACTTAGTTTAATACTAAGCTGTTTTTAATGATTGCATTTCATTTTTGAAATAAAATTATATCAAAATTCAGAAATATTCAAAACATTTCACAAAAATTAAGGTTTTAATTGTGTGTTCTTATCATAGAAAACAATCAATACCAAGCTAGTTTAAATGAAAACATTATATTATATATCATTCCTCTTCTTTAAATTATTAGTTATTTTACTCTTATAAATAGTAAGGCATAGTTTNGGAAAGAGACAAAGAGCCTACGGAAAAGAATTCTTTGTGTCCAGCCTGTATAGATAATTGTTAAGTTATTAGTATTAGATGTGTTTGCAGACAATTTAATTCCATTGAAACTAATACATAAATTGCATGGAGAAGTCGGAGGTCGAAGGGCGAAATTTTTCACCTATCGAACGAACATCCCATGCTTCAGAATACGGTCTCCGTCCATCAATGTTACCAGAGTATATTTTAGTTAAAATTACGATGGAATTCGTATTTAAAGTTAGTATTAAGTAATTTTTAATTGAATTTCTGTAAATAATCCTTATTCTTTGACCGTGTTTATAAAATATAAATGAATTAATTACGAGAATAAACCAATGAGCAAATACTTAATCCGTTTTCGGCGCTTCGGTCGCTCGTTTAAAAGTCCTAATTCACAAGCGACGGCAGATTTAAACGCCGATGTCGTCTCCGAAAGTTGCACTAAACGAAACGAAAATAAAATCTTACAGCTAGATAAATTCTAATTAAAATCTTACTTGGTGTAACGTCGGCGTCCAAAAGTCTTCTTAAAACCACGTTCCGGTAGAAAAGAGCACTGAAAAAGGCAAAAAAACACAGCGAAAACAGGAGCAAAGAGCGCACACGTCCGTACGGCAAGCGAAAAACGTGCAAAGTGACGCAAAATCGTGTTGCAACAATAGAAACAGCAATTGTTGCCGTTTCTATGGAGATTAGAAAGCGCGTAACGAATTCGAATGCGATTGACGTCATGGACTCTTTTTGAATTTTAAGGCTAAATATCTGCATTTTTTTATGTTTCTATCCCCGGAATGACGACGGATTGGGATCCAGAGACTCCCTATCACCCTCTGTCTTCGGTTTCCATTCTCCACANCCAATTCGCTGCACTGCCATAGTGTAAAATCAACCAGTATATAAGCTGCGATTAAAACTTTAAAGCCCTTTTTCTAGGAATCTTATGGATAGTGCACTTTACAATTCTTCTGGATGGACTCCCTTGAGGTATACTACTAACCTGTGAAGTCTCATTCCGAACTGAATTTCTGAGACCATAAGGTTCCCTTGTTAGATCCGAAGTCAACATTGTCATGGCAATAGAAGAATACTTTATTACATGCATAAGTATTTGATAATTTCAGCAAGAATCATTCTTTTTGAAAGAAAACTGGTTCATGTCAATACTTAAAAATATTGCTATATAAAAATTAAATATTTTACATTTGTTTACATGCATAACTGACAGACTATGAAAATATGCTTTGTAAATTAAAATTATTTTTCAAACTATAAATTATTATTATCACATGTATATGCATTATAGTGAATGTACAGTAATTCTCATGTACAAAGAATTATTTTTATGTTGTATGTTATATGAAACATTAACTTATGTAAAATATACATCAGTTGTTGATTGAAGAGCAAGGCCATTTTACCTTAGGCATGGTCCTAGGGCCAAGGAAATGAAAGCCTATAGTCTGGGAAGATGCGAAGAAGATAAATACTGTTTTACAAAAATATAAAAAGATAGGGCTATGTTACCATACTGTGATCTAGTACCTAATGTACCAGGATCAGAGTGCTAGTTGTAGTGGAGTGAAAGATTAAAGTACTAGAGGAGGTCCAAAATATCTAAAAGTCTATGGGTCTGGACATAGGTTAAAAGGCTCTGTGCAAGAGGTGAACAGAGGTGATAATCCTGAAGATTTTTATTGTTAACACAAGCTTCTTTAAAATACAGTCGACCCCCTATAACACTGTTGATAATTCCGTTTTATATGAATTCCATGTTGTATGAGTCACTTAGATTTTACAAATACATAAGCTGTTTACAGCCCGGCACACGTATTTGTAAAATCTAAGTGACTCATACAACATGAAATTCATATAAAACGGAATTATCAACAGTGTTATAGGGGGTCAACTGTATAGGCCTAATATATACTTGTGGCCCAATATACAAGTATATTTAAGGATTAACATATCTAGATTATAATAGTAAGTTATTAAAACTTTATCACGATAAAGGATATTTTAAAAAATTACTTCTACAGACACTTTCAATTTTTACTTAGAAATAGATAAATTCATTTATTATAAAAGAGACAAGTGAAAACTTATTTCGAAAACACAAATATTTGTTTTATTTGGGTCTCTAATAAAAAGCAACAAAACACCATTTTAAAGTGCATTTTTATTCAAGTAATATGTTTATAAATAATATGTAGCCCAAAAAGTAGCCAAAGCGCCAAATGATATTTTTTACCTCAAACAAAAAAGTAGCCACATTTGGCGCAATGTAGCCAAATCTTGCAACGTTGGAAAAAATACTAAATAAAGCTGAAGTTGTGATTCAAAGAATTATAGACCCAAATGAGGGGGAAAGGAGAGAAAGGGCAGTGAGAAAGGTTGGAAAATTAAGGGTCAATATTTGTGTAACAGAAGATCTATTTAACCTTTCTCACTACTTTTTATCTTTTGTCCTTTCTCACCTTTCCCTCCTTTTCTCAAATTTGGGTCTATAAATTTGGGTCTATCTTTTGAGTCACAACTCCAGCTTTATTTAGTAATCCTTCCTCATTCACCAAGTATTTGAAAATATTTCCTTTCCACTCAAAAATAAAATATGAATAAAGGTTTACGGCTTTGTGAAACTTCCTTTTTGAGTTTATGCCATTGAAATAAATAAATAATAAAAAAATTAAAACATTTGTCAATTTTGTTTACATGTTTATTGGGCTGCATTGGAACTTGCCTTGGACCGTGGGCTGGACACCCCTGCTCTACATCTCAAATATTTTTCTTGTTCCCATGAGATACGAGATAGATCGGTTCAACTGCATTTGGAGTGAAAGGAATGCATCTCCGAAAATTTTGTGGAAATCCGATAATTAAGATCACTTTGGGTAGAATAAACATTAAAATTTGAGTCGAAGAAGTCGAAAGTAACATAAATCATCGTCAGGAGACCACGAAAACTTTCAACTCTGAAAGAATTAGAGTTAAGGAAATTCAAATCGAAGACATTAAATCCCTCTCTATTCCATTGAGACTAGTTCAAGTTAAATTATATGATTTTGTAATTATGAATTTAAACATCAACTTCTTGATACAAAAAAAACACAGAGATGAATGAATTTTCTGTTACTCATTACAGTCTATTTAATGAATCGTAAACACGTGATTCATCAAATTTAATTTATAAAGTTTTCATTCATACGAATACTAACATTTATGGGTTAAAACAAGCAGTAATAATTTTCAAAAATTTGAAATTGTTATACTAAATATGGAAACAAAAAGAGAGATTATAACGTATTCAAATGTTATACTTACGACTTTATTATCTTCCAAAGTTTGAATGACAAATTAAATTTACCTCTCTCGTTTCACTTGGCTCACACGTTTGTTTACTTACCTTTTTATGACGTCACTGTAAAATTCCCAATTAATTATAACGTAAGCAAAATGCAAAATTTTTATAATTTTTAAAATAACTTAAAGTTTAATATTTATTTCATATAATAAATTTGCATTAAATAAAAATTGATTTTAGATTTTTATGTAGAGATTATTTTTTAATCCTTTCCGTCTTTTTAAAAACCCCATTATGGATTCGGCTAGGCACACGTGGAGCGGCCGGATATTAAAATGAACCAATGGACCAATCTTCGAAAAACTCCTGGGTTTTCGAAGATTGCTGGCACTTTAGCTGCTCGGCTATCCGGCCAGATTTCATGTTGCTTATACAGATATTATAATTTCTTATTGTCTATCAAGCGGTCCAGTAGCCAGGTATAAATCATTGAGGGTTTAGAGGGACGAGCTTAACAAAATAACTGGTATTTTTCTTTTTTCCGGCAAACACTAGGCCTATTAGCTATAGCCCGAGTGTAAAAAGTAACCAAAGTTTACACGATAAAAGCTAAGCATATACTGTATATGTACTGCATATGGGCACTGCTGGCTGGGCCGAGGGGGCTTAACAAAAACATATCGTGATTCCATCAGAAATATCCGGATAATAATATTTATTTGCATTGAATTGCATTGATATTTGTTTGCATTGAAATTTACGTTTGTAGCATCTAAATAGAGGCCAGTTTCCCATAGAAAGTCCTCCCGGGAGCCAGTCCTGTCAGCAGATCACCCATGTGTCGCATTGAATTGCGTTTGTTTGCTTTCTAAGCTGTTTTTGCGACTTAAACAGAAGAATGAGTGAAGAGAAGAGTTTTTGGAGTAGGGTCCATCAAGAAATCATGTCACGCTAAATTTCCATATCTCTCCCGTGTCACTCTGTCATACGAGAAAGCACCCCTCACAAAGTCACATCGGTTGTCACCTTTGACAAATCTTTTACGTTATTATCAGTGGCGTGCCGTGACATTTGATGATAGGGAAGCTGTGTTTCTGTAAGAAGCCGATTTCTAGGGGCAACCAGTCAGTGACGGTCTAGGGCAGTGTTTTTCAACCTTCTTGAATACGCGACCCCTTTACAAGTTAAAAAATTCTGGCGACTCCCCACGGCATATTTAAACTATGTCAGTGATTTTAAAAAATATGCATTTAATTTTCTTTCTGTTGAGATTTAAATATCGATCAAAAAACTAATTGTACTGTAAAATAAACAGGCACAGCTTTCTCACTGAAATTGTAGTTTTTTTTATTGTAGTGTAGGACCTACAAACACTTGTCTTTTTCTTTTACCCGCGACCCCCCGTGTATGGCTTTGCGACCCACAGGTTGAAAAACACTGGTCTAGGGTCTATTCGTATTCGTTTGTTAGATAAGCCAGTAAAAACCGTAGACTTCTCTAAACGTATTTTTAATTAATAGATTATCTAACGCACTTAATAAATAAGCAAGTTCAATATAATTACCTCTGTTATATTAGATTTAATAGATTCTATATGCCCTCTAAATGCCAATTCTTGCTTCGATAACATCTACTAATTTAAATATAACATATCTATTAGCCGTAACTGTCTTGTTATAATTTTCAATATTTATTTTATATTGTGTACTAATGTTAATAATGGATTTGTCTCTGATCACTCAGCCATTTGATTGCATGTACAGTGCAGTACGTAGGCGGAAAAAGATGCAAGTCCTTCTCTATCTAGGATTATAAGGTATACGATATATACTTAGATTTTAAACAAAACTCTTCCCAACGCTGATTTTAAATCGCTTACCATCTCTTCGCACTCATATTCAATATTCTTTTCATTTTTTGGAGTTTCTCAAGCTATTAACTTACTTAATCTCGAGAACGGAGTTCTATACGTAAAACTTAAGACCAAATATAGAAATCTTAGGGGCGGCATGTCTCGATTAACTATACATCATTCAAAAAGTTCTTCCCCGAAATGAGTTAGATAACCACCGGCAGGAGCCAGTTGATTATTATATTTACAGTATGAAAAATTATATTTTTTAGAGCACTATCGGCCGCCAGCGTGCATGCACTCACTGCATACCTACCAAAACCGGTCTCGAGTCGATCCAAGCGTGACTTTGTCGGCCTACTATCCATCTTTCCTATGTGTTATATGTATAACCTTTGGTCCAAGTTTGGTTAGATTTGTTGAAATCCGGTCGTGTTAGAAATAATTGGCTATTAAGATCCTAAAACGCGTCGTCAACAAAATGGTCACCGAAATAATATATTGTGTTAGAGATATGGTACATTGCAGACCAACTAAAAACAATTTATGTGCAAGTGTGTAGTGTACCTGTACAATAAGAAACTGTTTATATGGAAGTTTCGCTACTTGTTATACTTTCAAGACCTAGTATAACAAGGTGACAGCTGGATGTTTGAGTGGTTAAGATTTTGGTCTATCGCTCTAACATCGATTCGGGCTGTTGAAGAACCCAGGGCGGTCTGTCAAGTCCCGTGCCATACAGTCCTGCAGCCCACATCGTGGATCTTGAAAATGGGTATAAAAATTAAGATCTTTAATGATATTAAGTAAGAGTTAGCAATACAGTACAGGTAACCCCCGTATAAGACGGTAGTTACGTTCCAAAAAATTGCCGTGTTATGCGAATCCGTGTTATACGAAACAAAGAACTAATACGAAAAGGAGGGTTAGGTTCCAAAAATTAAAAAACATGCTAGTATATTTTCATAATTAAGATAAATATCTCCATTAAAATTTTTTTAAGTGATACATATTAATATAAATTAAACAATGTTTTCTTCGTCATCACTAAAAACACTA